AAATTCATCCTCCTGCAGCCATAGAAAATCATATTATAGTACATGTTGTATCTGAGATAGGAATTACAAATAGGATTTGACATTGTTGCTGTCCGAAAACATTTGAAATTTACATTTTACCATGTGTTTACCTAACCTGAAAATATTAAAAGTTTGAGTAAAACTAGCTGCTGTACTTACAAGATTAATGTTAGTGCACTTGCTCGCTTCTGTAGTTACTTGAAAGGGCAACAAAGAGGTAAAAAGAAAAAGAGTATGTTCACTTCCATTTCTGTGAATGGGGAAAGGAGGTTTAAATGTCAAACTGGGACTTGCTAAATGAAAAGTATGGAATTGAAAAGAGGAATTATTTGGGATGTGATGTGGGAGAAAAGCTATGCCTACAGTGCAAAATGTGGAAGTGAAATTAATTGATGCAAAGCATCAGAAGACAAATAAAATACATGAAATAATAGAATACTAACTAGTGGTTGGAGAAAATATGGGACTGGGAAAAGAATTATTAGGACAAGTATGACTTGCTCCAACAGCAAGTGGTTACAGTGTGACTAATGCTTGCACTCGTATTTCCAGAGCAGGGTCTTAGGGAATACTTATAGAATACAGTTTGAACTGATGTGAATGAAACAGCAGCTTGACTGTATGTCCAGAATCCCCACAGAGGACACCTGAAACAGCAGTTAGTCTTGGATAGTAAAATAAAAAAAAAAAAAACCAGGAAAGGAAAGAAACTTGGTGAGCATTCAGGTATAATGGTACATAACTTGTAATTAGGATTTCAAATGATGTATATTTATCTTGTCTAATAACCACTGTAGGAATAGATCTATGATGCATTTTTAATTTCCTCCCTTGTACATTTTTGTTATCCATCAATCTGCATGTTTTTCAAGATGTAAAGAAAGGAGAAACAGAAATACTCAATGTAAAAAGAAATTCCATAACAGTGAAAGCCAGTGAAAACCTACGCAAGAGAAGTGTTGCGGTCTGTGTCATCTCTGACAGGTAACCTTGTGATGTCTGAACTGGCTCTTTTTTCAATATGCCAGTCAAATATGAAAGTTTGAAATAGCAACAGTCACAGCTTGTGCAATGTCTGTCATTTAGTACAAAACCATACATGGAATGTGTTTCTTGCACTTTCATCTGTTTTAACATCAGAAAAATAAAAAAACTTCTTAGTCTTTTCTTCTATGTAGCAGTTGAGGACAGTTTCTGTCCTTCAGGTCGTGTTGTCAGTACACATCTCTACATCAGTTTATGAACATATATGGGAAGAGTGAACCAGATAAACCATTAAATAAAATGCATGTGATACTTTTTTTTTTCAATTTTTGTGTCTAGTTTATATATCTGAGTTTTGTAGTGTGACTGAAAATCTGACATCCTGGACACAGTTGCTGCTTTGGTTCATAGGAGTGTACATGCTGGACTGTGCCTGCTAGTCATCAGTAATGGGTGAATAAGGAAAGAATATGCAAGGCAGGGTAAATATAGACTGGTTTGGGTTTTTTTCCTCCTGGTATATTTTTGCTGCTGGTAGAACATGGTTTAGGTTTTCCTGAGAACAAGGTTGTAAAATAGGTCATTATACTTAATGGAGTTTCGTAGCAGACTTCTGTTTAATCTTTTAAGTCCACTTCTGCTTTCAGCCTCCACAATATACTCTAGCAATATGTTTCACAGCTTAGTTTTAACAGTACTTTTAGAGCAAGGAGAAAAAAAAATTCTAAAATTAAATTTTCAGATAGTAGAAATATTTCCCATTTCCTGTGTTTATGAGACAGAGAGAATAACCATCTCCTTTTCACATTTTGCATACCTTTTATTAGTCTCTTATGTCATTGCATCAGTTTGTCACTTTTCTCTCATGCTCTCACTTTCACTGAAGGCTGAGGTTTTATCCAATTGCATATGAAAACTGTTGATTATCCATACTGACTTTTGTGGTATGTTTTTTATCTTGAGATAACTTTTTTCCACTGCTTCAAGTTTTCTGAATTGTGGGGATGTGGCAGAATAATGCCATGACATGGTGATGTTTCCATTTCCTATTCTATTCCTAATCATTTTTAAATTCTAACTTTTTTGGCTGTTGCTGTTTAACTAGAGAGGTGAATATTTATGGGATCTTTGAAATGATTTTGAGATGGTAGAGAAAGTGCTGATCATTGACACCATAGCTAGGATACGTAACCATCGGTCATCTGTCGCGATAACATTACTGAGGAAAAATAGCTGAATTTAATTAGAAACAGCTAAAAATAGGACTTAAAGTAAATATCAGGATGCAGTGTCGTCCTGTTCTACCTCTCCCTCTAATGTATATTGAAAGAATAATGAAAGATCTACACAATTTACTTTACATCATCCCTTTTGGAAGGTTCGTGTTGCTAAGGATAGCATTATATGTGTTCACAAGTTGGTTGCAGTGACATTAACTTTATTTCAGATGGAAGAGGCTAGGGAAAGCTGGTGTGTGATTTAGATCAGAGCATCAGATCAGAGTTTACCCTGTGCATCTCTAGGGTGACTCAGTGCTTTAACTCTGTCTCTGAAGAATGGGGATTTTGGTACTTCTCTCCTGTGCTGTATATTCAGAATTTGACTAAGGAAGAAGATGAAGTTTATTTCTTTAAGTAATTGCAACTGTGTTGTGTAGATGCTTTGTTAATTAAACTCTTTTTAACAATAAGCATTTGTGCAAGGGGAACGTATCTCCTGCTCTCAGGAGTTCTGCAAAGGTACATGTTGCATTAGGGCAGTGTAAGGTTTTTGTCTGTAAGGGGTTTTTTTGGTGTTAATGCCGTTTCTGATGTACTTGGGTCCTCATCTTGGGTTGGATCTGCTGGCCACAGTACAGAGAAGTGTGGGTGTGCATAGTGCCCTCTTTGCTTCAAAATAAGTAACTCTTAGTGTTTTTTCTTGGTGAATCGAGGTGCACAGAGGGGTTGAAACAAAGACTGTAGTTCTGCTCAAAAGCAGGGAGCTAATCCATAGGGATGTTGTTTGTCTGTAGAGTATTGCTTAAAGGTAATCTGTTGTCTAGTCAGTGAGTCACAGACAGTGGAACCTCTGCCAGACAGAATGATCCTGGGTCTTCAGGGGAAAACTGCAGCTACACAGATGGTATTGGGGAGGTGGGATACACACACCTACTCACACTGTTATCCAGGGAAAATCTGAGGCACAGGGTGTGCTCAGGAGATGAAGCAAGGCATATCCTGAAAAGATAAGTGTTAGAAGCAGAAAGGCTTTGGATGTAACTTCCCCACTGCCAAACTGCAAAGCTTTTTGGGGTTTGTAGTTACCTTTCTGCATTACAAATATGACAATGCAGTGATACATAGCACAGAGAAAAAGATAAATGAAGTTTGTGTCCAGTACACCTCAAAATTTAAAATACATAAAAACAAATCTTGCAGCAAGAATTTTGGTTTCATTTTTTCATTTAAAGTTAAAATAAAGCCAGAGAAGTGAACAGTATATTAACAACAACAAACTAAAACATGAAATGAACTTCTGTAGTTGGAAAAATAAATTTTTATTTCATTGTTTAAGCTGAAAAAAAATAATTTGACTTCATGTTGTTTATTTAATTCCTCTGTGTCGAGTGGACTGCCAGTACTTTAGAAGACTAATTTCTCAAGTCTTGAAAAGTAACTTTAAAATTTTCTGAATGTTACCACTGTCTTTTCAGGAGAGTGCTATTTTGCTCAACTATATGTGGTAATAAATATGTAATTATACATTTGTATATTTCTAGAATTACCGAAATTAAATTAGAATGTATGAAATCATTCCACCACCAGTTGCTGTAGAGTCCAGGACAGATCCACTGCACGGACAGGGGAATTTCCTTTCACATTACTTAGTGATCAAGTTCTTGTCCTACGGAGCCTCCAACACTGTTGTAGGGAAATAGTAGGAGATGGTTCTTTTCCCTATCCAGGGAGCACAAAGGGAAAGATATACCCACTTAAAAAACATTTTGGCAAATCGTAGAGGTATTTATGAACACTGGCACCAAAAGCACAACCTCTTAGGTCTCAGTTTATTTTTAGGTAGAAAGGTGTTAAGATAAGCCTGCCTTTTCGTTTTGCTTTGTGGGTTTTTGTATTCTCTTCTTTTTCCTCTCTTTGTCGTCATTTTAGCTTGTGGTTATACTTCCTTACCAGGTTGAGCAGATGTACATTGCTGGGTACAGTCTTCCTTTTCTCAATCTTTTACATAACCATTTTGGCTTAATCTGAGGATGGTTTTGATAATAAAAATGTTTCTGCAGTGTGTAAATTTGGTGTCCTGTATAAATAAAGACTTTTGTGGAAAGTCTTACCTTGCTATAAAGGGTGTTTTCTCTCTCAAGAATGGTGTTAAAGCACTGAAGGAAGTACAGCTGTCTCAAAACACTTTATGGCTAAAAAACGTTGAGTGTATAGCAGGCTATTTATGGATCAAGCTTAGCTGCATTCCATAGGAATGGATTCCATAGGAAATAGATTTTTCCTATAATTCCGTACTGGCATTTATGAAATACATTGTCCTCCTTTTTGTAAGAAGTCATGAAGGAAAAACAGATTTTTGTGAAATTGTCTTGATCGGAAGCATTCATTGTGATTTGTCAGCTCAGAGATATGTCTGTTAATTTTTGTCTGTTGATAATAACTGCTGGTTGTTGGCACTTCTGGTCAATTCTATGGCAAAGATCTCCTGTTTTTTTACATTCCTGTGGTATCTGAACTTTTCAAAAGCAATTGTGAAGGAAACTGTGAATTAACAAAGAAGATTATGTACTGTTCCAAATAAAGTCCTCTGCTGTTGTAGGAAAAACTGTTGTGAGGAGGTGGTTGATATTTTGATGGTGATCTATCTAGGAAATTACAAAGAAAAGACACCAAATTCCAATACAATTTCAAAAATTGTAAAATTGGGATTGTATCTCACTGTAAAATTATGACTAAATCCTTTTGTTTTAAATTAGTAATTTCTTCTTTTTTCAGGAAATTCGGAGAGCGACCTCAACCGAAACGGCTCACCAGGTAAGCGTTAAAGAAACTGTATTTAACAATTTTCTGAAGTTATCCTTTTCATTCTCAGAAGAATTTCTAAGTTAAAAATCTGTGGCTTGCTAATCCTTGAATTGTAAATATCAAAGCTTTTCTATTATATATGCAATCATTAACCAGAAATATAATTTCTAACAAAGTGGCTTGTTTTTAATATGAAACTCAAAATGACATTTTTAGAAGTGGCCTTGGCTTTACATCAGTTATTGTAGATTATTCACTAGGATGTGAATCTGCTTAGTTTTAAATCACCAGGAGTGAGGTGATTTTGTTTCTTGGTTAAAAGTGCCTTCTGAGGTCGTGTAAAGTAACCCTTCTTGCTTCCCAAATTGAACACAGTGCTGTCAAGGAGTGATCTTAACCAATTTTTGGTGAAACCCAAACAGTCAGAGAGAGTATCAAATAGTACTATCCAGTCAATCCATTCTGAAAACTGCTTAGAGTGACTGGAACGCAGTGCCTGATTTGCTCCTGGTCTGCCTTGGAAGTATTTACACCAGAAGCTGTTAAGTGGTCACCTTTCTTTTTATACTGCTGTAACACAGTCTATGCAAATATTTATTATTCCGTGCCACAAACTGTGCCCATTATAAATAGCTACAGGCTTTAAAATCCACGGTTTGCTTGAAAGCAAAAAAGATGTGCCATTTGTTTTATAGTTTTTTGTGGTAATGGAGGAAGCCCCTTGTCACTCTGACTTAACCTCTGTTTTGAATGAAATACTGCCTCATGTTAGCACTTGGGGCAGGGAGCATTTACATTTTGTTTTGTGAATATCTGTCTCATTGCATTTCTGGATAAGTTTCAGGTTAGCTTATGTCATCATTAAACTTCATTTTAATGAAATATTGATCTGTACTGTCTTAGAGGTAACTGAACAAACATGGCTGTTTCCTGTTGGCCTGCCAGTCTTCAGGGATATTTGAAGATACTGTGTTTTAAGGAATGAGCTGCTTTCTATCTTGAGTAGTAACACTTGTTAGTATCACCCTGAAGTTGCTCATAGGTTTATATTCTGTGATTTCAAAAAAGCAACAAAAATAGTGACTAGTGAGTGAAAGGTCTTTTAACTATTTACTATAGTTTTTTACTGTAAATTCCATGTGCAGGATTTTAAGTACTAGGTGTGCTAGGTACTCTTTCCTGTGAGTGCAGAGTAGGCATCTGGGAAATACCATCCTTCAAAGCAGCAGCTTGTAAAGCCTTTCTGTGCTGATAGAGGCTGGAAACAAGCAACCTAACTTTTTTCTTGCTGAAGTGAAACAACTGTCACACAGATTTTTAAGACTGATTTGTGTAATGCTGTAAAATGTGTCTCTAAACCCTTAGTTTAGAGCATTTAGTCCAATAATTGGAAAATTATTGTGGGTTTTTCTGTGTAAAGGCAGTCTGGTTTGGCTAATAATCCATTCATTGTCGTGCAAGCTCCAGCAGAACAACACTTTGTTCATACTGTGCTAGTTGGTTTTAGATGTAAGCTATAAAAATACTACCTTCATGAAGAGTTTTAAGATTTAATAATGAAAAATGATGTGTAAGAATTGCAATGGTTATCACTCTTTGTCAGTGTGAGGGGTTGGAGGGGAACATCCATAGTTGTCCCAGGAGCTTGGATTGTTCAAGTCCACTGTAGCAACAGACCAGCAGAAAAGACAAAATTTCTTCTTCATAAAATGCTAAATAAAGATAGCACCTAGTGGTTTTCTGCATGGGTTGCTGGGTTTGAGTGTTTGGGTTTTTTTTTTTAGTAGTAGTCAAGTCAAAAGTTTTTAGTATGACAGATGTTCTTAATTTAGTATGACAGTACTATTGATAGAGTATTTCAGATTGTCAGGTTAAAAGTTTTTAAACAAATGCAGCTAATATATATCATAATGAAGTGTGTAATAATAATTTCACAGTGAATTATGTTTTGTGTTTTAAAATACATTCTTAAACAATAGTTGTAAATAAGTAAGTCTGTCTGCTTTAACACGGTTCTTCCAGCTGTGCTTTCATGGATAAACATCAGTTTTATCAAATGTAAAATCAGTTTTAATGTCAAATATAAGTAGATCAAGATAGTGCAAATTTAAAACAGTAACTGAAGTCTTTTGTCTGCTTTTATATCCTGCTGTTTAGACAGAAAATCTGCACACTGACCACTAGACGTTAATCATGTTTCATTCAGCCATGACAAACACAAGATTTGCAAAATATCCTTAGCAAAGCTGGATTGTTATTGTCCAACCCGACCCCCGCTCAATGTACTTGCTTTGCTCTATGAAATTATATGAGGAGATTTCTGTTGGAAAAGGTCTTGTCGATAAAATACTGCCTTTTATCTTCCATCATTTTTTTCCACTAGAAATATTTGCTTCTCTAGATCTTTCCGAAGGGAATTCAGCAGTTGGTGTCATTCACAAAAAAAAATAAAAATAAAAAAGTTTAACCAACCAAGCAAAAAATTCACTTTATTTAGGGTTTAATCTCTTCATATAACTTCCTGATAAATTCATAATTTGTTTCTCTAGTTGATGACTTTGAAAATGAGTGCGTTGGTGGGCATTCAACCCGCAGAAACTCCTTCAGGAACTTAAAAGTGTTCCTGCCAGCACTCCAACACAGCTAATCCCTAGGGTGTTGAATTTGGCATGCTGCTTAATGAACAGTTAGAATATTATGCAGAAGAATGATAGGGTGTATTGTTCTCTCAGTTCTCTCGAGGAATTGCTGTTGGTGTGTTTGAGGTAATTACAGCACTTATGTGATGTCTGTCATTACAGGGATGATGAACAATAGAAAAGTTTTAAAAATTAATTTTTTTAACATTGTATGCAGGAAGTAGAGGTTTTCTCTAGAAAACTGGATGAAACAATAAGCTGAAGAATTTTAACTTTTCCTTAGTATCTTCACAACCAAAAGAAAGCTTGTATATAAACATTGCACTGATTTAGTTAAAAAATTTAAACAGTTTGTCAATATCATGAGATATTAAGTTGTTCATGAAGAAAATATTGAATTAATGAAGTCTACTCTAATCAAATATTTGTGGCATCGTACTTTCTGAAGTAGGACTTTGAACATGGTGTAGTGATTGGCATTGGTACAATTTGACACAAGCATCTTTTATTTCTGGAAAATGTAGTAATTGAAAATGACCACAGACCCTTATTGCTAGTTTCATGCAAGATAGTTGCTTCTTTTTGCTGTGTAATTATCTTAAACAGTAAGCAAACACATCTTGACCCTGTTAATGATTGCCGCCTTGTTTTTTCAGGTGTTTGGGTTTGGGGTTTTTCTCCTAAAACAGTCTTTCAATTCTTCTAATTATAAACAAAACCAGAAGAACTTTCAAAGCTTATATTGTCTTTTAATTTTTAGGGAAGCAATGCGAAACTACCTGAAGGAGCGAGGTGACCAAACAGTACTAATACTCCATGCAAAAGTTGCGCAGAAATCATATGGAAATGAAAAAAGGTAAGTCTTTATGCTTTCCTGAACTGCCTTTACAGCTACCAGCCAGGGAAACTGTTTGGAATAGTTTGGAATCTGGTGCATAATTTGCAGAATTCCTAAGAATGCAGTGTAGTCTGAAGACACACGAAACCAACTGCTTTCTCATAAATCATTTAATTATGTAACAAGTGCTGCAAAGCTGTGGCATTCAAGGGGGCAATGCCTGTTTATACCAACAGGTTCCCTGTCTGTGGGTGAAGCTTTTCTTCCATTGAAGTAAAATGGCTTTCATTTTAAACGTTGCATTTTAAGTCTGGTGTAAATAAGGTGATCCACAGTGACTATTTGTAGAGGAGTGTTTTCCTGAAGAATTTCAAAGGTGCTTTTTGTGCGGTCTTCTCTTGTAGTCTGTGTGATGGTTTTTATTGCATGACTAGTACAAGCAAATAGGATGGTCCTTCATATGCAGGTTTCTAGCCCTCTTTTGATGAAATAGAACATTATTTAATTATGACTGATGCCTTTCTACCTTACTGTTCACTGAAGTAGTGCAGTATTTGGCTATTTTTGAGATACTTTGTATTATTATTATTTGTTCACCACACAAAAGACCACGTATTCAACACACTAATGGTTTTGAAGTTTTAACCTTTCTTTTGCCACTGTTGTGAAAGTCCTGTTACATCAGTATGTTTTTACAACTTTCTGACATTAGAGGTTTAAGGTATTTATATGACAGTGTTAGAAAAACAGGAATGTTAGAATTAAATCTGCAGATTTCTCAGTGTATTGCTACTTACCTAAGTCACACTTTCTGATGACTTTCTGAATCACAGAGATACAGACTGTATTTTCAACTGTTCTTCAGTATTCTGTGCCTGAGTACTTATCCTTCAGTATGTGCTGTCTTTTCTGTTAGCCAGTGTCTGCAGTGCTTTCTTTTGAGCAGTGTCCAGCTCCATGGAATTGTTTGCTCAAAGTGCTTTTTGGATCTTTTTGTGAAATTCTTGATGTGAATCAAGTAGGAAGTCAGTGAAAAAGGAGGAAGCACACAAAAGCCAAGTGTGCTGTGTACCTGCTGTATAGCTGTACAGCCCTCTAGCTCTCTGCCATGTTTAAATGCAAAGGGGTTGCAATACTGGGCTGTACTATCAGTAGATGATAACTTTGACCCTTAGCAGCAAACTCAACAGCCAGAAAGATTTATCCTGACAATATAGGGACCTCTGGTTATCTTCTCAGATTGTATTATCATTCAAGAGTTGCATAGTTAACTGCAGATGAGTTAAGCATATTACTCCCCAAAAATGAAGGATGTGCTTGCAGATAAGACAGTGATTCTCTAAACAGTATATCTGTAACTTTGTTCTCTTGAGGTCAGAGCAGTTCATAAGGGTAGGAACATTTTTCAAAACTGTCCTGTGTGTCATTATTCTGGAGAACAAATTACTTCAAAAGTGGGATGAAAATAAAAAGATAAAGTATGTAATTTTGATTATTAAAAGTTTCATTACTGTTTGGAAAATGTACATAAGTGTTCTGAAGTATCCAGATTCAAATAGTTATTCGGTAACAGTTTGTGAAAGTGCCTACGTGCATTTCATAATGTTGCCATAGATCCCTGTTGCCATGAATATATGTGCATACTTCACTTGGTGCTGTAAAGTCACTGTGGCACATACATTACCTGAGTACTAATAATGTTTAGCAAGCTGGTCATTGGTTTCTCACTGCTTGAAACAATTGCTAACTGAAACTAGGCATTCTTTCACCATTTTTTTTGAGGCGCAGTTCAGTGTCCTGTCTCAGCACAACTGCATTTGTTTAAGAAAGGTATCTCAGATTTCCCTCTTTAAAAATGGAAATTCTTGTCAAACAAGAATTTCAGACCTTGGCAAAAGATGACCAGAATGCTTGGATGTTGGTTATCAAGTAGTATGATGGTGAAATGATTGTTGGTATGGGTATGGTGCTGGTATGGGTATGAAATGATAGTGTGAAATCAGAGTCACAGAATGGTACAGGTTGGAAGGGACCACAGTGGGTCATCTGGTCTAACCTCCCTGCTCAAGCAGAGTCATCCCAGAGCACATGGCACAGGATTGAATCCAGATGGTTCTTGAATATCTCCAGTGAGGGAGACTCCACAACCTCTCAGGGCAGCCTGTTCAGTGCTCAGTCACCTGCACAGTAAAGAACTTCTTCCTAATGTTCAGGTGTAGTGCATCAGTTTCTGCTCATTGCCTCTTGCCATACATACTAGGGTTTCATTTTTTCTGTTTAAGTATTTTAAGTTTTCTTAGGTTTTAGCATACCATATATACAGTCTGTCATACTGTTCTGCTAGTTCCCGGACTGTGAGGATCAGTCCTGATGTCCTGTTGTTATCAGCGTAAAGAAAAGTGCCCATTATTAAATCCTTGGATCCATGTGTGCCCTAAGGTACTTAGTGAAACTTAACGATGAATTAAAGTATTCCTTTTTTCTTTTTTTGAGTTTTTTTTAATTGCTTCTGTTTTATCTATAGCAGAATGTGCCCTTTATTTCTTCATATTTCTGGACTGAGCAAAATTAGTAAAGGTTTAACGTTGCTTTATGCAACTGGCCAGTAAAGTTTTTACCATTTTTACATTCAGTACCATTTCTGAAGTGAGTTGTTTTGCATACATCTTCTTTATGGGAAGAAACCTATTTCATAGCTTTTTTTAATGGAGAAATTTTGTGTTTTCCATGGGACTTCATTATGACTTGTATATAATGTGGTTAACTTCTGATCTTTAAAGAGTCAGTTAGTTTGTACTATTTTTGTAATTAAGAATTCCAGTTACAAAAGGAATTATTTCTTAAATTTGACATCTCTTTCAAATAAATATAGAACCTAAAAAAACCCACCTAAACAAACTTCCACCTCTTCTTCCAGTCTTTAAATCTTATTTGTTGCAAGGCCACGGAAAATACTTACCATTAATAAACTTTGCATGGCATAATAACTACCTTTCAGTGTTTTGATGAGGCTTAGTAGATGGTGAAATACTGTGTTGAAAACACTGTGCTGTAGACGGCGCAGATGTCACGTAGTGTGGCCTGGTTTAAATAGGCCTCACAGAAACACAATTCCAGGTTGTTGTCACGTGGATGGAGACTTTCTAGGTTAGCTTGAGAATTCTTCATACTTGTCTGTAACTAACAGTAATGAAAGGAGACTTTTTTCCTTTTTGAGTTGACTCTTCATGTTAGCCTTGCACTTCCCAAAGTTAATGCTTTTTAGTTAAACAAAGAAGCCAGGAGGTAAGAAGCTCAGGGATGGGCTTTAGCTGAATTTAAGACTTCATGCCTCATGTTTCCTGTTGGATGACTGTCATCTTTTAGAGACATTCACCTGATAGAGACTCAGGTGATATTTACTCCTGATGAGTGAGTATTTGGTCTGTGCTTGTATTTTTTTCCATATTTACCATTAACTGAGACCTCTCTTCAGAGTCTGAACAGTGTGATCATATAGCAGTTTAAAGAACTGAAGTGTTTTGGATTCCAAGACATAGTTCATCTAAAGACTGTGAGCCCAACTGGTGTATTTGTATTACGTGCTGTTCTGAGTTTAAACGTTATCACTGCTGATTAGCATGAGAATGCTCTGGCTGCATCTTGGTTTACGGCTGTTAGTGAAGGAGCTCCTGTAATTTCTGTTCAAATACTTCCCTTCCCTGAACTGAGTGTGCCTGCTCTCTGGATAATGCTCTTGTTATTGAGAGCGTAGCCTTTCCCAGGGCTTACCCCTTGGTTTTCGCTGCTTCATCCTTTGCACTCTTGGACCTAATGATTTTTCATTTGTTTGTTGTTGTAATGAATTCCTTAGTGGATGTTGTTAGCTCTTTAGCTCCTAAGAAAAGGGAGTCTCAGAACAATGTGGGTAATTGACAAACACATCTCCTGCTTGACTGACTTGGAATTGATAGGTGCAAAGGAAAAACTTGCCTTCCAATGTCACTCTGAATATAAAAAAACCCTAGCTGGTGGAAGCCTGAATTCTCCTGAAGGCAAATACTTCTGTAAGATGAACACGGATGACTTGGAGGATTTGAGAAAGCAAACCTTTGTGAACAGAAACCCGTGGTTTGAGGAGACCATCGAGTGCATCAGAACTAGGTAGCAGTAACATGAGCTGATTTTATATGACTTTCTACCCCTTGCTTCCTGACAAGTTAGGGTAGCTTCTGTAGTTGAAGTAGCATATTTTCTCTGTATCAATTGACCTGAAGGAGTATTGTTTTCTCCTTTGGTGATTGTCTGATTTAACCCAGTATTCCAGGCACTGCCAAAGTTCAAACCTGGTTCTCTTTGTGTTATTGCAGTCAAGATTTGGAAACCACTAGAAATTATTCTTCCCTTCAACTCGTTTGGAATAAAGGGGAGCATCCTTAGACAAATCTCAGCTTGGTTTTCTTGCCGTGGAAAAATGGTTGGTTTCCAGTTAGTCTGATGGAACAGATCTGTCAGAACAGATGAGTAACAGCTTATTTCTGTTTGCTGTACTGAGTTACTAAACCTGGAGTCTAACAGGAGGTTGGTCTTTCCTCACTTGAATGGCCTATGAAATTATAGTGTAAGAAGATACTATGGGGGTGCCCTTTACCTTTTGGAGGTTGATCCTCTGACCTTTTCTAGATAGTATCAGTTCCCATGTTAGCTTCATTTAAAACTGCCCATGGTTTTAATTACACTGATCACAAATACTTAAAGATGCATAGGAGGAGCATCACAGAGAGCCTCTTTTGAGGAACCAGAAGTCCATAACAAAATGTTGTAGGGATGTTAAATACATGAAGTATTTGCAGAGACCTGGTATCCCAAACTGTTACCCTGGTTCAGTCACTCTGCTTTATATCAGCAAGTAGGAAACACTGAACCTGCATCTTGTCATGCGGCTCTAACAAATGTGGAATAGGTTTTGTTCAGGAATGACATTCCAGGTTGTTATACTTCCAGTAATGAAATAGCTCACAGAAGGAATCCCTAACAGATATCATGTGTTTTTTAGATCAAGTTGTTAGGTGTTTACCTCGCAGAGAAATGCCTTGTGTTGTTTTACTGCACATTCAGCAAGAAAATGCCAGCCTGCTCATGGCATAGAGAAGAGGTATTAAGAGAATATGCTACAAATGCAGTGAAGAAATTATATCCTATATGATTTTCTACTATTACTTCTTGTACTGAAAATTATGAAGAAGTTCAGAAGAACCAGACACAACTACCTGTCCCTGCAACATAATTTTTTTTACTATTTTTTACTCAGATTAATACTTCAGAAGAATTTTTGCCTCCTACTCAATGTCACTTTAGTTTCGTGGTTAAAGAGAGGTAGGGCTTGTAAATCAAAAGCTGAAGGAAGAGTATTTTCATTTGTTCCACCAAACACCATCCTACCTTATTTCCATCAGTAGTACTGGAATTTACTTTACATAAATTACCTTACTTATTTTGGGGAGGTGATTTTTCTCTTTTCCTCTTTATAGTTATCTGAAAGCCAGCCTCTCACATGAACATTTACATTCCTATTTACATTGGAAATATTTTATTAATGAGAGAACCTGTTTCCAGCAGTTATTTTATACATATCAAAGAGACTTTCTTTAATTCTCTGTGAAAATTAAAGATATAAAGCAAGTGATAGTTTACTCACCTTATATTGGATAGAAAATTTTTAATTAATCTCTCCTATACATTACTTCCTGGAACTGTAAATATGAAGTAAAAGGCCTTGGGACTTTACTTTGGACTGTACTTGTCTGTGCCTGAAGGGTGAATAAGAACCTGTTACATAAGAAAATCCATTCAAATTGTGAATGTCCACACTCTTCTTTTTCGTAGTTTTAACCCAATTTAAAATTTTCTCAGCTCCAAAAGTTTGTTTCTTTGTTCAGTAAGTCATAGTTTTTGAGGGGTTTTCTCTGTGGTCTAATTTTAAAAGAGTGCTTTAATTATTGTGGTTTGTTTCCTGTCTTCAGTGGGTTACAGCTTGTTTCTTAAAGGTCTTCATTGCCATCTAGTGGCTGTAGATTTTCAGAGGACTTGGTTTAGAATAAAGCTGAAATGAGAAAGGATGTGAAAAAAGTTTGGGGTTTTATTTTTCTTGTGTTCTAACCAGTAAGATAAATATGAAAGAGTACATGAGGAAGAAAGGTAAATATGTCACATGTGCTTTATGGTGTTATAATACTTGGAATACAAGGGGTTTTCTTTTTTCAAAGCACTGCTATGTTAATAAAGGTCGGTATTAATTTTTAGTCTGTGTATAACGTCTTCATCAGAAATAGGCTGTCAGAAGAAAATAAGTGGGATATGTCTGTTAACACTGAAAAGGTCTTGTATTGTCATTTTGGTTTGAAAATTCAGAAGCTCTGTGGTGTGTTACTTGAAAGCTTCTTCCCCCCCAAACTGCATATCTTAACCTTGGACTTAGTTCCTAACCTGCATTCGAAAAGTATTGTTCTTAGAGGACCATGGTCACATTTCCCTAATCTGGGATGGCAGAGTAGTTAGGCCTCTGCTTTGCTCTCTACCGTACTTGGGCATGGTCATTGCCCTCACTCGACCCCTTGATCTAATAAGAATGTGACTCCTGCTTATCCTGTTTCTTCCTCACACCTCCCCCAATGTTTTGGTTCTTTTTTTAATGTTACCACAATTGTCTAACTAGAAATTTTCTCAGTGTAGTGCTAAAACTTCTTTCTTTCTTTGGTTTTCTTTTTCCCTAAAAAATACTGAATGTTGCAGCAACCAGTAGGTGAGCTTCCAAGTAGGTTTCTAACAACAGTTAGGGTATTTACATCTAGTTGTGGGGTGATGTGTAGAAAGTAAATATACGTGTTGTACTTTTAATATGAACTTTATGATCTTGACCATTGTAATTGCACTGTCTCCCTGACAAACATAAGTTCTCTTAAGATAATTTTTTCTTTTGGGTAGAGAAGCATTTGAGGAAATTAAGTCATCTGTTGTGTTTGAAATAAATGCTGTTGAAAACTAGAAAATGCATTCCTTGTTTTCAAATCAAAAATTTGTAGTAGTAAGGGGAAGATTTAATCAGCATATAACAGAAACTCATGGTGTGCTTAAATATACCCCTACTGCATCATTCAACATCTTGATGAGGGAAGCTGCAACAGAGGTCAGATAGCAGAAGATAAGAAGCAAAAGGCATAATTGCAATCTAAAAGGGATACACGGTGTGGGCTGTTTAATATTTACTGCTGCTCACTCTATTCATGGTGATTTTCAAATTCCGGAATCTCTATTCTTAGAACAATAATATTACAATAACCCATTCTAATGTCAGATAACTACAAATTTTAGCTTTATGAATCGTGGCTGGGCTAGTGGAAGTATTCTCATGTGCTGCTGCTGTGGAAGTGTTATTTTTGTGTTGGTTTATTGCGTAGTTTCTTGACAGGTCATCAGGAAACATCTGCTCTGCAAATTGGCGCGTTTCTGCTTGTCACCTTGTTTCTCTGTCCTGCATTTTCAGTTGGAAGAAAAAGATTCTAGAGCCTTCATATGACCTGTGATTACTCCAAAGAATGAAATACAAATAGTAAAAACTGATGCAATAAGCACATGAAAAAATGTTAATTGTTAAACTTTGAATAGATTGTTTCTACAAGTGGCTTTATCTTAGTTCATAATTCTCTATTTATCAAAATTTCTGTGCTTCAGAACAGTGTGAAGACAGAAAAAGGAGCAAATAATTGTTGAGTCATTGCCGAAATGGATTATCAACATGAAGGAAATATAGCATTTGTTTCTGTTTGTTTAGAATTAAGTTTAAAAAGCAATCTGGGGAGCAGTTTCACATATTAATTTGGACACCTCAAAATGCAGAAATTGTGATGTCACATAGGGAACTACTTTCCACAGATTCTCTTTTATAAGTGGTCTTTTTTTCAGACCACAATACTTTTGAAAGACAATCACAGATATATGAGCTGAATGGATACTGGTATAGCACCCATTTTGCTATGTTTTACATAAGATAAATGTAAGTGAAAAATTTTGTCTACCCGCTTATTGTCAAGAAAGTAAGTTTGGGGGTTTTTTTGCCTGCAGGCAGTAATTTTTGTTCATTAGCGCTGAGATGTTTTAAATAGCTGTAAAACAAAATCTGGTTGTTTGTTTCTTTGACAAAGAATATACATTATTTGGGTCCATTAACTGAAAATACTACAAATAATTTTAGTTACTTATATGAATTCCTGATATTTACATTTCTTTAGTTATGTTATTATTAACAGTACTTTGGTTTCACCTGTTAAGGATTTTATTACTTAGAAGGACATTTTGTATCTGTTAAATAAAGGTACTTCTGCTGAATAGGTGAGATAAAGAAGTGATTTAGACTGGATTTTTATACTAAAGCTGACTTGCACTAATGAAGGTTTGTATGGTGTTTAGTAGAAGAATTGTACAAAGATTTAGTGTTGGAAAAGACCTTTAAGATCATTGCGTCCAGCCAGTAACCTGGCACTGTCCTCTCCTGCCCAGGACTCCCACAGATGCTTTAGAAACGGAATAATTTTATCCTCTGATCATTTTCCTGTGACTCAGAGCCTGCAGTTCAATTCACCCATGCCCTGATCGCTCCTGCCTGCTGCTGTGGCTGCCTGTGGCGCACAACTGGCTGCTGCCCTGGCGTGGGGCCTGCTCCCTCTGCCTGGAATTCAGTTGTCCCAAGCCAAATTAAAAAAAAAAATTAAAAATCCTTCCCACCTATGCAAGGTAGGAGTCAATGCAGGATTTCAGAAGTGCCAAGTTAAGCACTACTCTCCAATTTGAAGCAAATAGAATAATTAAAAACTTGTTCAGGTCCCTCTCCTTTCATGCCTCCTTATCTCCCTCACAAGTGGATGTACTCTTTCTACTTTTTTATCTTTCATCCTAATGAAATGACAATAAAAACACTGCAGCTGTTCACTAACTAAAACCAAACATTTTCACAATTTGGGCTTTAACAATATACAGAAACCTCAAGACCAATGCATTGTATTATAATGCTGAATTTGATTTTGAGCGCGTTGCTGTGTGTGGACTCTAAATGGGTTGCAGTCAGTGCTGCTGAAGACTACTAGGTCTTATCTTTTGTAGTTACTGATGAAGATTAAAAAAATCATTTAATCCATTTAAAAATTGAAGAGAGGTTTATACATGGATGGAATAGAGTCCCTCCTTGCTAATGACAAACCACTAAATGTTTAGGAATAGTAGTCAGCATTAAATTAGTGTGTGGAACTGTAATGTGTATGTTAATCGCTGCATCATGGTAAGCACCTACAAAAGCAAATTACTATAATAACTTTTGAGGCCTTTTTACTTACTTTCAGAATCTCTTTGTAAGGGTAGAAAGCATTTTCATTTTATAGAGGCGCAGACTGTCATATATTGAACTGGAAAGATACTCAGTGACAGTGCATCTACTGCTGAATTTTTCTTGCTTTTTCCTTTGGGTACAGATCAGTTTGTTTTTCTTGAAAACTGTGTGTAATGCTATCATTTGTTCCTCATTTTCAGGTTCTTTTGTCCTCCTCCGTGTGTGTATCTTATGGGCAGTGGATGGAAGAAAAAAAAAGAGCAAATGGAACGGGATGGTTGCACTGAGCAAGAATCACAACCTTGCGCCTTTATTGGGATAGGAAACAGTGACCAAGAAATGCAGCAGCTGAACTTGGAAGGAAAGGTAGAAGAACTGTAGTAAACCACTCAGATTACTGAAAGGATATTGTAGCTACATGGTGCATATTTCAAAGAATGCCCTTGCTTATTTTCGGTAACTTTTCTTACACTATAGCAGATACTACATAAGTAGTTTAAAAAAAAATCCCTCAAAAATATGTAGGATGGTTGAATAGGTGGATTTAGTTCACAAGGTCATAATAAGATACTAACCTTTAATTTGTAGGTTCTTGATGCAGAGTCAATAAACTGTTAGGTGTTTGGTAGGCATCAGCAGCTAACTGAAATCTGGTTTCTGGCCCAAACTCCGTGTCCCTTTCCTTGGCTTGCATGAATGGAAGTGTCTGAACATCTGCTAGAAGTGGTCTTTAAGTCCCTTTGCATAAAAATACTATTAAAATGCCGTCTTAAAAATTTGGTAGATCGTTTTTTACAGTGGTGTAAATTGCTTACAAGATTTTTTTTTTAAAGGTATTTGTGATGAATTTAACAGTTGGAAACTAGCAGCACAAGTGTTCATTTTAGCTGGTTGTTTTATTAAGCTGTACTTTATAGCCACCTAGTATTTCCAGCACTGTCTACCAGAAATGCTTCATATATTGCTGAATAGGAAAGAATAATAAAAGTTCTTTTTGATATGCTTCTGTTGTCACCTAGCATAAACACTTAGCCAAAAGTAACTTTCTCATGTTTCAAAACTCAGTCTTTCCCATCCTTTCAATAAAAGTTTGTCTCAACACATTTTCTGCACAGGTAGCCTCTTGTGCATGCCCAGTGTAGTGTCTGTATGACTATACTCAAATGTAATTTTTAGCAGTGCTCTTAACCCCTCAGAGATGGCTTTGACACAGTTATGGTCTCCAATCATGTTTTCCAGTCCTGGAAAACTGTAAAGTAATGAGGTTGGGTGCTAAACTTCACAAAGTTAAACAGTAGTCATAAAAGAAATCCATAGAGAAGAGATGGAAAAAGCAGTTTCTGATCTGTTTTAGAAATTATTGCATCATATTTCCTCTTTGTTCATAATTAAATATACATAGTTTCTGGAACTGGGTTGACTTGAAAGAAGAAACAACAGTGTGTTTTCACCTACAGAATTATTGCACTGCCAAAACATTATACATATCAGACTCAGACAAGAGAAAGCACTTCATGTTATCAGTAAAAATGTTCTATGGCAATAGTGATGACATCGGTGTGTTCCTCAGTAAACGGATCAAAGTCATCTCCAAACCATCTAAAAAGAAACAGTCACTCAAAAATGCAGACTGTAAGTATTTTACAGGTTTTTTCTATATGTAGCAATTAATTTTGACTCCTACTAAATTTTTATGTGTTCTGATGTCTGATTACAAAGTAAATACAAGGAAATTTTCAACTTCCTTTTTTTTTGTTGCATTTCAGAACTGTACACATCAGCGTATTTTAATATATTCCAATATAGATAGGTTACACTGTTGAGTTTTATGCAGTCACAACTAATTATTTAGTAAATACAGAAGGTCCACCAAAAAGGCTGTATTCTGAGAAATGAATCCTTGTAGACAAGTGTATAAAGACTGTTCAGCTTTCCAAGCTTTTGGATCTGTTAAGCTGCTGTGATCTGGTGCTTAGGATATTTTGATCAATATCAAAGAGATAGTGATAAATGAGTAACGTCAGGTTACCCAAACTGCACTTCGTCACATCACAGCCACCTTCTTACTCCTTCATGCCATTTTCATGTTTTTATTTTTGTTTTGCATCGTTCCTTTTAAGTAGTTGGTTAAGAAATCTGTATGGTGATGTTTCACCCAGATATTTGCTTACTGTGTTTTTCAACTAACAGTATCTCTGGTGCTAATGTATGATTTGGAACATTTTTGCTTCTCCTCCAACATTTTTTGCCTGCATACTACTGGAGCACCTCAAGAGATACCCTTTTTTTTTGTTTGTTTGTTTGTTTTTCTCTTTCTCTTCACTAGTGCTTTAAAAGGCTCTTCCATCTGTGTTGGGCTGGAACCCATTCACCTATGGAATGTGGATCTCGGGGCCGCTAGCTTGGCACATGACTAAAGGCAATCTGTTGCTGTGCAGTTCACACCCGTGGGCTCAGAGTATGCACTGTTGAATTTGTATTTAGACAGATAGTTTTGATGGACAGTGAATATGAACCAAGTAGAACAACAAGCCCAGTTTGATGGCAAAATGTTAGTTGCTGATTTTTTTTTTTAGGGGAGCAAACTTTGCGTTTCCCTCTCTTGAATGATCAGTAAGTTCAGATCCAAGAACATTTCAAGTTGCATGGTTATAATTTGACATAGTTACATCCGTCTTTCTTTCAATTACTTGTGATTTGTAAGAATAATTTTTCTTTATACTTCAAATATACTTCAAATGATTGCTGAAAGTTGTCTAAGTACTTCACAAGGGCAGTCTAAAGCTTCTGCTCAAATAATCAGTTGTTGGAGAAGGAGTCTTCAACTGGCAAGCACTGGCCCATTTGGCTAAGTGGCAAAATCCTATGAGCTAGCATGCCTTTGGAGAACAGACACTATGTTTGTTATCCCACTTGTATTTTGAGTATTTTTGGTCTGTCACAAATATAAATATTTCCTAAATTACCAATATTTGAAAATTATTTCTTGATTTCACGTATGCTTCAGTTTATTTTACAGTATTTGTGACTTTCTGTTACTTTTCTATGTAATAATGAAGTAATTTTATAATCTCAAGTCTGTATATGTTCTTTGCAGTATGTATTGCATCAGGGACAAAAGTGGCACTATTTAATAGACTTCGATCCCAAACAGTTAGCACCAGATATTTGCACGTAGAAGGTGGTAATTTCCATGCCAGTTCACAACAGTGGGGAGCATTTTACATTCACCTCTGTAAGTAAAAACAAAGCAATATATCTTTTCACTTCCCTCCCTCCATCCTCACAAAAAACCATCCTGCATATTAATTGCCCATATGCAGATTTGTTTTGTTACTGAATATATATATATTCGATGTAATAGTGTGATGTTAATTGTTGTTCTTATCAAAACAAATAATTCTGAAAATTCCTGTTTCATGCAGTGGATGATGATGAATCAGAAGGAGAAGAATTCACAGTGAGAGATGGCTACATTCATTATGGCCAGACTGTCAAACTTGTGTGCTCAGTTACTGGCATGGCACTCCCAAGACTGGTACAGTTTAATTTCTCCAATGCTGTAATTATTTTATAGATGACTACTTAATGTAATTCCATAGTTGGGTTCACATTGTTTACAATTTTTGGCTTTTTATGTTTCCCTTTGTTAATACATGTTTTATATGGAAAATGGCATTCACTTTAATGAAAGCATATTTTTATATCTGCAGATTAATTCTGTAAACAAAGATCAACTTGTAAAATAAGCATAGGATATTTTTCAGAATTCAAACCTGCCAAAGTAGGTTAATCTGTCTGTTTTAAAAACAGTATATCCCCTGTACCGAAGTACTTTAAATATTGTTATTGAATGGATGAGTAAAATATTTGCAGCCAGTAGGACTATTCCATATGTTGAGTTCAGCACAGCTTCAAAAATGCTCACTGATTTGAATCTGAAAGGGATTCTGTGTACTCAGACCAATATCAGCTTCCAGAAACATTTTTTTTTAAATTTATTAATACTATCTGTTTTAATATGAAACATGGGAAGTACCTTTGGTATGACCAGCTAAGGTTTGTGAACCAAAAAAAAAAAATTACTTCTGGATACACAGTAGAGGTTTTTATAAATAAAGTTAAGTGTAATTACACATTTTTTTTTCTCCTTTTCTATGTGGTTAGTGCCAGCCTAAGTGGAATTTTATGTGACTGATAATAAATAATGCTTCTTATGAGATCTTCTGTGAAATTGTGGTTTGTCAGCCCATTATGAATTACGTACAAGGCTTTCTCAAATCCATTTTTAGCTAGAAACAATATGTAGAATCCGCCAATGTAAAACCAGCCTTCCCTACATTTTACTAGGACTGTAACGAGAAATTCTCTCTCAATATCAAACTTAGATAAAACAGAAGATAATAGCCTGCTCAATGTAAATGAGACAAAATGATAATTTCAATACTTTTTCTTTTTTTCCTAAGTCGCATTGTTTGACAGTGAAGTCCAGACCTGGTTACTACTGAAATGGTGCAAGCAAATGAAATTCATTAACATAATGTCACTTTATTTGTGGGCTTCCTGTTAATATTTTCTTATTGCTTAAAGGAGATGCCATTATTTATTATTCCAGAAACCTTATTTGCAGGTAGAAATAGATTGAAACAAATTAGGCTAAAGGTTCCTGTTTGTTTGCCATTGGGAACATTTGTCATATGCCTTACAGGACTGATTGGAGGTGATGTGATTAAAAGGTAAATTGCAGATGTTTTATAGGCTAATGCAAAGAACTTTGAAGGAAAAAGTTAACCTTGAAACATAATTATTATTATCATCATCATCGATATAATAACTTTTACTGTCATTAGAAATCCTAGAGGACATAGTTGGCTTTCTGATTGTCAGCTTAAAAATCTGCCAGCACATAGCTGCTACTGCTACTGATATTGCATAAAATTAAGTATTAAACTTTTTTCTGGAAGTTGATTAAAATTACGAGCTACAGATTTTCCCTGACTGTAAGGGAGTAACTTTTTTAATTTTTAAAAATAAATTGGTAAAACAGATCTGAATTAAGTCAGCAGATTTTGTTTTTCACTGTACTACCAGATGTTAGGAACAATTATTCCTTGCAGTTGTCTTTAAGTAATATTTTATGACCAACTACTGTTAAGATACACTATAATTGTTGTGTTTCCAAAACTCTAAAGGTATTGAGATGTGCTTAAGTTAATCCTTATTTTTAACTATTCCACTTTGGCCACTGGTTTGCCACAGAATGTTGATGATCCTGTCAGTGTTGGAAGCTTCTGTAGAACTGTATTAATTATTAAAAATTGTAATTAATAATAAAAATAGTAAGATAATTAATAGTTGCTTTTCTGCACTGGCAAATGGAACAAAATTAGATTTTGCTGAAGCTTCAACTTTTTTCCCCACTCCTATAACAAAGATAAAATATATATGCATGCAGCACATTGAAGTAGTACTGAGTGTTACTTCAATGTTGTGTTCTTGTTTGAAAAGCGTTGAGAATTATGAATCTAATATTGGTATTAAAACAGGAGGCATGTAAATGTAAAAAAAAATTACCTTTCACTTCCTTTATTGTCAGTACATATGTAATAAAATACAAAAATTGTCCTAAATATATATATGTACTATTTTCATTCACAGATAATTCGAAAAGTAGATAAACAAACGGCGTTATTGGATGCAGATGATCCAGTATCACAGCTCCATAAATGTGCATTTTACCTTAAAGACACTGAGAGAATGTATTTGTGCCTTTCCCAGGAGAGAATAATTCAATTTCAAGTAAGTTATTTAAAACTCTTTCAATAGATGAGAAGCGTGGTTGCAAAGTTTTCCCAGATATTCCCAAAATATGTATGAATACTATTTTTCCAGTAGGTTTTAAATGCAAGTCTGATACTTTGTATTGAAAAGAGAGGATGGAAAGCTACAAACTTCATCTGTCCCTTTCCAAATCTGTCTTTCTTTCCTCAAAACCTTCTTCCTTGTCTGTCTAGACAATGAATTCTAGTTTCTCCAATAGAAAAAAATGGAAACACAGTAGGAACTTGTGCATGCAATCATGATATTGTGGTTTAACATGCTGACATATGCCAGTGGAGTTGCACCACTTACTTGTGTGTCCATTTCTAGTTTACAGCAAATAGGAAATGATACAGTCAACGACAGTCTTGTTTCATGGTGAACTCAGCAGTTGCCATGTCTTGCTCTTGGATGACAGTGTAAACATAGACAGCTGTGGCAGTTGACCACAGTAACTTATAAAGCCACAGAAACTTGGTTTGTCTGTAAAGAATATAACTGTCTCAGAAGTATTCTTTTTTTCTCCAGCAGATGGGGAAAAATACTGGGTTTTAGTCTCATGGGTATGTTAGCATGCTTTTAGTGGACTTTCAGCATGGTAATTCCTGCCAGACTAACAAGACTGTGTCCAAATTCAGGACTAACTATTGCAATTTTCTTTAAATATGTCAGGGCAGCTCAAATAGCAAAGGGTGTTGAGAGATAATGCTGTGCTTCAGGAAGATGGGAAAGACTCAAGACTTCCTCAGAACAGCTGTAGCTTCTTGGGTAAGAAAAGTAGAGGTAGGAAAGTGGAAGGCTTGGTAAAGGTTCACTTGACTTCTATCCTGAGTTGGGACAATGGAACTAGAATATGAAAAGCTTTGTTCTTATTTCAGTAGACATATTCATGTCCTGTGGTTCAGAAGGTGGTTTGATCTATTGTTTCTACCCACAGCACACGCCAGAGATATATCTATTAATATGCTATATGATAGTATATAGTATGGTATAGGAGAATGGACCATTATCAAGAAGAAGACTGTGAAATGGCAATTACAGTAACTCAGGAGATCAGCCTTACTATTTAATCTTTCTCAGAGTACTTTATGGGAAGTGCTGAATGAAGAAGCAACTCCTGCTTCTCTGATAGCTGCCTTAGTTTAGCATCCTGGAATTGCCTGTGGGACTATCAGTACATCCTACCACTCTTCAGTTTCTGCAGCACTCATGGAACCCAGTCTGATAAGAGCTCTGAAGTTTCCACATGGGTAGGAGTTAGATAAAAGGACAACCCCCTATTCTGAATTCTTTTAGTGGAGTTGGTACCTGCTGCTTCTACTTGCTGGCTAAAATCTTTTATCTTGCACACTGGACTGTTATCATGCTTTGTTAAGTGAAATAACTGTGAACAATAAACTCTTTCTATCAATGTCAGGAGAGAAATCCTATTTTATCTGGTTTTTATTTGGATTAGAAGACAAAGACCAGGGAAACAGCACATTTAGTATCTTCCACCTGCCTGCTCTTAAGCATTTGCTTTTGAATACTGTTGCTGTAGTAGGAATCTAGGCAAACTATGGTCACTGTAAAAAAAAACCAAAAAACCTCGAAAAACAAAACAGAACAAAAACCTACAAAACCCCTGAACTTTTCTTTAGGGCAACAAATCTCCCTTGGGTGCATGGAAATAGCACTATATAGAGACCTTAGAGGCTTAAAGCAGAGAGGCTGTAAAAAGTTAATGAGTGAGCATGAACCTTGAAATTCAGTAGCTGAAGTACCAGCCAGATCTCTCTTTCAAGACACCCATGTGTTCTGGAGCATAGAGAAAGAATATAAATAATGCCTTACAGGATCAGAGCACATTCCGTGTCTCTGTCTAACAGCAACAATAGGAGTTGGTGCTCATGGGAAGCAGTTGGATGTGGTTGCTTTGTGCAGTCCAGTGCAGTTATACTCTACCAGCATCCACGCTGCTTGTACTAAGTGTTGTTAGAGGCTGCCTCCCTGATTCTATCTTTTAGTATCTTTTTGTAGATGTGTACATCAGTTTGATTAATTTTGAATGTGCCGATGTTCTTTTTCTGCAGTGAGCTGTGGCAGAAAGTTCAAGAGGTTTCCTGTCCTTTGTGTAGTAAACTTTTACTGTATTTGTTTTGAATGATGTAACGATTTCTGTGAGTGATTCCTACTTCCAGTGTTGCAGGATTTAGTGGCAACAGTTCTTCATTCACTTTAGCTGTCAACATCTTAGTTTCTTCTCTCCTAGTTGTACGGTCAGTCTTCTCAATTTCTTCTCATAAGGTCAGCACTCCTTAGTGATTTTAGTTGCCCTTTCTGTCCCTTCTCTTTTTTTCTCCATGGCTTTCTTAGACAAGGAGACTGTAACTGCACACAGTATTCCAGAGTTAGGTGAACAAAACATCTACTCTGGCAAAATAACACCTGATAGCTTGTTCTCAGTATTTTTTTCTGATGGTGTGCAACATTGTGTTGTCACTCGCTGCTGCCACTGCAGGTTGAGGTCGCCTTTTCAGAAAACTGTCAGTGGCAACATTAGGAGTTGTAACTTCTGTCTCCATGTGGAGCCAGACCATGATGTTAAGGCATTTCAATCTTCTGAGCCATCTATTGAGAAACTTCAGTTATGAAAGGAAAGAAAGGGAAGGAAGTGTCCCTGGAGGTAAACTGCTGTATTTGGAAGTGGTAAGGAGGAATGTTTCTCTAGAATAGGACTCAAAATCTTTCAAGGAGTTCTGTGACAGAAGAAGTAATTAATGTGTTCCTGAAATGATTCTTGATGTAGCAGGACTTTGAGAACAAATTCTGTGGCATTTGCCTTCCATTTTGTGGGTTTAGGAGATCTGAAAAAAGTCACTCAAGGGTCTTTTACAGGTTCATTCATTTTTTTATATCCATAGTTTTATTTGTCATGGCTCAAAGTGCATCAGTCTGTGCCAAGAGGAATTGCGATCAGCCTGTAGGAAAAATGTCATGCTTCAAAATAGTACACAACAGTTCCTATACAACATATACAACAGCTCCTCTTTTGAAGTTGGACTAGTAATTTAGAAGCTCCATATGTTTCTAATGGAAGTATCATTTCGGTCTTGAGCTTGGAAAGATCTGTAGTTATTATCCGTGTTGCACACTTCCCTTGCAAGCTGTTTTCAGTGCTTTTTTACATGATCATACCAGAGTGAAGACTCCACGTGAAAATTAGGCTTAGATTTTAACATCTGAACTGGTCAATTCACAGTAATTGAAGTTTATCTGACATTTTTAAGAGTGAAGGTTACAGTTACGTACCTCGACATTCTTAAAGTGCAATGGAGGAAAACAGAATTTAGGTATTAGAATTTTTGAGTCCCACTTTTTTTCTGTGCCAATGTTTAACCTATACACAATTTCCTTATTGATTGCTAGGTGTTGTTGCTATTGTTCAGAGAGGCTTCTGTTGCCATAAGAAAAAGGTTCAGTGTATTTTCTATCTATGTAGATAAATATGTATGTGTGTACTAATTTAGTAATATTTAGAGGGAGACAGTAGATGATCTTTAAGGGGTCTTCCAACCCAAGCCATTTTATGATTCTTTTGTTCTAATTTGCAAGGTTGTTGTTTCAGCTTCTCTCCTATGTCTTTGAACAAACACTGAAATATAAGCTTGTGTTTTCATCATTTTGTGGATGGTGAAGAACTCTAAAAAAAAAAAAAAAAGAATCTTGACCCGGTGTAAATCATAACTAATGAAAAGTATTCCACTTCAGTCTGTAGCTGTTTTAGTCACTTTGCATTAATAGAATCAATTTTAAAGCAGCTACTTCTCATTACCGTAGTTCTTTGGATAATGGCTATTGAATAACATTAAAACCTAAAAAGTTGAACTAAAATAAAACTCAAACATAAGATGAGGTGACAGTGTCATAGTTATGGTGTTCTCACAAATATTAGTTTTCTGTTAGTTTTTCTGAAATGTATGTAACTGTTTCTCTCAGTCACTTTGTTAGAGGAAAACATAAGGAAACATATTTTTGCAATAATAGGCATTATTACTGACTGAGTTGTTTTTTGGGTCTGTGATTTGATAGATGTGTCTACAGATCAGATCTAAAACTTTTCTTTCTTTCTAAGGCCACTCCATGCCCAAAAGAACCAAATAAAGAAATGATTAATGATGGAGCTTCTTGGACAATCATTAGCACAGACAAAGCCGAATATACGTTTTATGAGGGGATGGGACCGGTCCATGCTCCAGTGACGCCTGTGCCTGTTGTAGAAAGTCTTCAAGTAAGTTTGTTGTTGGTTTTAATAAGCTCTTTTATGTTAGATTGTTTTTGTCATACTGTTTTAACCATCATGGTACCTTTTTGGAATACTGTAGAAAAACAGTCTTAATAACTTTATAAGTAGTAAAATTACTTTATGTTGTAATAATTTTTCTTACCTGCATTTCAGAATACATGAGCCTATCCATCACAGGAATAATATTAATATTGCTCTATACAATAAGACTTTTATTTCTTAAAATACTGTGGTAGTGATATCCTTAGGACTTCTACTTCTGTTTTGATTATTTAGAAATTGTTTTTGACTCTTAGACAATTACAAATCAAGGAGAGCTTATTAAAAATCAATCAGCATTCATCCAAGAAAAACTTGAAGCTCTCCTAACACGTTCTCTGGAAGATTTTGTTCTCTGTTTTCAAAGCATTGTTGACATCTATTTCTTAAGTGGCCACTATCAAAATTTGAAAATTCCCTCATGTTATCAAGTTAATTGGCAGTACCTTTTGGATGTGTTACTTCTTTATAGTTCAGTTGTGTAGATTGTGTGTGTTTCGGTTTTGTCCAGCTGAATAGAAACAGGACTGATTACAGTTCTTGTTTGCATATGAAGATTTTGGGATTTCTTTGTTTTGTTTGGGGGTTTTTGTTTGTTTGTTTTGTTGGGGGGGGTTGTTTGTTTGTTTTGTTGGGGGGGTTGTTTGTTTGTTTTGTTTGGGGGGTTTTGTTAGTTTGTTTTGTTTGGGGGTTTTTGTTAGTTTTTTGGTGGGTAGTTCGTTGTTTTGGGTTTTTTTGTTTTGTTTTGGTGGGTTGTGGAGTTTTTTGTGTGTTTTGGTTTTTTCCTAATGGAGGAGTGTTTATTTTTATTAATACATATTTTGGGGGGGGGTGTTTCTTCTTTTTTTTTTTTTCCAGTTGAATGGTGGTGGGGATGTAGCAATGTTGGAACTTACAGGACAGAACTTCACTCCAAATTTACGTGTCTGGTTTGGGGATGTGGAAGCTGAAACCATGTACAGGTACAGTATTTTCTCTTACTTTCATTGTGATTACATTCTCCTGGGTGCTGTGAAGAGTGTATACTCATGTGTACACACTTAAGTGTATACTTTTCCATCCTGCAGAAAGAGATCTGGTTGCCAGCAGGCTCAGTATGAGTTAGCAGTGTGCCTCAGCAGAGGGGAGGGAGGGCAAACCACATCTAACTGGTCAAAAGAGGTGATTGTCCTGCTGTTGTGATTGTCAGCATTGGTGCAACCTCACCATGAGCACTGTGTGCAGTTCTGGGCCTGACGGTTTAAGGATGTCCAGGTACTGGAATGTTTCCAGAGAAGAGCAGCAAAGTTGGTGAGGGGATAGAAGGCATGTCCTACGTGTTATGGGTGAGGACTTTGGGCTTGTCCAGTTTGGAGAAAAGGAGGCTGAGGGGGACCCCATTGCTCTCTGCAACTTCCTAAAGAGGGAAAGGAGAGAGGGAGGTGCTGTGCTCTGTTTCCTGCTGTCACGTGCCAGGATGCGTGGGAATGGTTCAAAGCTGCACCAGGGAAGACTTAGATGGGACATGAAGCAACATTTCTTTACCAAAGAGGGCGATCAGACTGGAAACAGGCTTCCCAGAGAGGTAGTCGATGCCCCAGGCCTGTCAGTATTTAGGCAGATTAAGGTTATTGGACCTTAATAATATGCTTTAATTTTTTGGTCAGCCCTGCAGTGGTCAGAGTGTGGACTAGATGATTGTTGAGCTACTCTGTTCTGTTCTGTTCTTTAAACTTAAGTATATTGTGCTCATTGGACTCTCCCGTTTTCCAGATGCGCGGAGAGCATGCTGTGTGTTGTTCCAGACATTTCTGCATTTCGAGAGGGTTGGAGATGGGTCCGACAGCCAGTCCAGGTTCCAGTAACTTTGGTCCGTAACGATGGCATAATTTACTCCACCAGCCTTACCTTTACATACACACCGGAACCAGGGCCACGGCCACACTGCAGTGCTGCTGGAGCAATCCTCCGAGCCAACTCGAGCCTCATGGCTTCCAGTGAAACAAACACAAACAGCGAGGGAAGTTACACAAGTGTCAGCACAAACCCAACCAACGTCACATCATCTACAGCAACTGTAGTTTCCTAACTACTGTTGTTTGTCTGGACTTTAACTGACTGTCATGTGCTACGTTCAAGAGAACTGAACAATTTTTGTGGTTTCATGGGAAAACACCTTTCCGTTTTAGGTGATATGAGTTGAACCTTGTTACCTGCAAGTGAGATCTTAAAAACAGAAGCCACGATAAAAAAAAAAAACAACAAAACAAACCAACAGCCGAAACATAAGAACTTTATTGAAAATCTATTTTTCAGCTGGTTTTTTTAGTGGGCAAGAAACAAAAATGTGGCTGGGATACATGTTGAGCAAACTAGAAAACATGAACACAACATAGTTTTTATGGACCAAGGAACTTGTATAAGCTTTAGTATAAAAGGTACATTTTCACCATACCTTTTTTGTATCACAACATATAGTACACTTTTGTTACCAAATAGTTTATATTTTTTTTTCTCTGAGCTTTTGCTCTGAAGTATATTCAGGTTCCAAAGCCTGACCATGCTTGTATAATCTAATTACCATACTCTTCCAGTTTTAAAAAAAAATATATATTTTTGGTCTGTGGCTGGAACTGTTCCTTTTTTTAAACTGAAGTCTTGTGACTTTTTATGGACTGAAATTGTTTTTATTTCAGCAAGTAGAACCTTGTAAAGGCCAGCATATTTTTTTTAAGATTATATGAAGTCTGTGCAAAAGCTTTAAAAAATGCCTCTGCCTTGCCTGCAATACATGCAATGTATGTTAACTTTAGTGCTCTGTTTTCAGTCATTGTTAATAGTTATTTCTGTTTTTCTTTTTTTAAATACGTATTTATAGTGATAATTCATGAGGTTCTAACATTACATGAGTTTTTTTCCTAAAGTGGCATCTCAAGCAGTCATATTAATGATTGTTCATGTCACAGGCATATGTTGGTGTTTTTGAAGGGTTGTTACTGGGTTACTCCCCCTCTTCCTTGCTCAGTCATATTACATCTGAAAATGTTTCAGGATCTGTTCAGGTTTTTCTAATCTTGTATATAATTTGTATTAAATGTAAGTTAAATGTTTTATTTCAAAAGTGGAATGTTCCCAATAACTTCATTTGGCAGCATGTCTTCTGTCTTGTTGGCATGTAACTAAAGTACCACGAGAAGTATGTGCTACAAATGGGATTGGTAGGTGATGCCCTCCATCACTTGAGAATCACAACAAGCATGTTTTTCTTCATACTGTTCAGTAAATTAGACCAGACTTTCATGTAACACTTGTATTGAGAACGTGCTTTCATTGTGAAGTGATCATACCATAATAACTAGAAGTAAATTTTATTACTTAGAAATGGGCAAATAGAAAATCATAAAAGCGCTATGAAGATGTCAGCTCCTCCCATCTTTGTTTCCTGTGGGTTTCCCTTTCCCTGCCAACAGCTTGTGCAACATTCAAGTCTTCTCTCCATCATAAATTCAAGGCTCATTTGCACTTTGACTTTGTTGGTTGTTGCATTTTTTTTTCTTTTTGACTTTGCCATGTTTTGTCCCTCTTTGTAGACCTACCTACTTCATTTGTATTTGAAAGTATACCCCAGTAGTTCATTTGTAGTCACAGAGCTAGGCATAGACTTGTAGGACAAGTTCTGATAGTGTGATCTCTTTAAAAGCCAAAATACAAATTTCATTACATGTTCAACCTTTTCTGTACTCTGAAGCAAGTCACCACTGCTGTGTAAATGTGAACCTGTGGCTTCCCACAGCAGTGCATTGCTTACCAGCTTACCTGTTGACCATTTTCATAGGGTTTTTATTTCTGACCACTTACTCCAGTTTCAACACCCACCACCGTTTAAGGCATCGACTCTGCACCATATTTGCATACTCTGACGCTCCATTCTACTTGCTTGCTTTAGTGCTCTGTTGTGTATGAGAAGGATGTGTTCAAAGGAAGAGATCAGTTATAAAGCATATTTAGCAAATAGTAAAATCAGTGCCACTGTCCTCCTAAAATGTGCTTGTAATCTACCACAGGCCTTCATGTTTGCTGTTCTATATTACAAACCTGTTCCCATGACAGTCGTGATGCTGGTTCCGAGCACTAGTGAATGCTGCCTCACCTCATCTCCGTTCCAGTGACCAAGGGCAGAATTCATTGTGGCCTTATCTCTGTTTTAAACTGTTTACTGGCATTTACTTGCAAATCTGTTTACCTTTGTATGTGCTATAAAATTTTGTTTTATTGTGTTGTGGCAGGAATCATTTCACAGTGTTTTTGTTAGAAGGACATAGGTATCTTACAATATGGCTTAGTTCAAGAGCCACAGATTTTCATCACTAATTAGACTGAGAATTAGACAAGATATATATATATCAGATTTAGAGGGTATTGAAGACACCATGATACACACACAGCAGGCAAACCATAACAAGCCTTTTAACCTTCAAAGACTATTTAAAATATCTTTTCAGAACTTGACACGTGCTTTTATACTCATTATTTTAAATTTTTTACATATAAATGCAATACTTTTTATATTCAGTTTCTTTACGTGCAGTAATTTTGCCCAATAGATATAATATTCCTTGACTTGTAAAGACTTAGCCTAATTTTTGCTGTTCTACACACTACAGCCAAGTGGGTCAAAAAAGAGCCTATTAAGTTCTGCTTACAAGACCATTTTAAACCCCATTTTTCTGTTGGGCTTGTGGCTCTATTGTTGCCAGTAGTTATCCTGTAGTACAGAAATGGTCTTCCAGGTCCTTACTGTTGTTAATACGTCCAGTTGTTCAGATATATTATCTTCCTGAACTTTTTTCTGTGGGGTGATATTGTTACATATATTGGCCTTGTGAGCTGTTAATCAATTTTCATTATATTAACGATATCTCAAGATTTTGATAAAACTACTTATAGAATGTTTCAGTATGAAACTCTTATAACTGTTCAAGTCTAGCTGTTAAGTCTGCTGTTAATTCTGTATACATAGAAATTGAGTCTGCGTTCAGAATGTTGTTATAGTTCCAACTTTAGGGAGACAAAGCAAAGTGAGTGCTCTAATTTAGCTATGCCTTTTCTTATTTTCTGTTGTTTGGAACTGCATTTCAGAATTCAACACTAGCATAGTCTTTAATAATCTGCTGCTGATATTTTCCCTAATTATTTGCCTTGAGGGCATCTCACAACTGTATTAATAATGGTATTCTGTACTTCTTTTCATTGCACAGACTTAAAAGATCAGAATGGTTACCTGAAAAGACATGAACTCAAGACATAAATTGGTAGATTCCCCATATACAAAATATTAATGCCAAGTGAAACAAATTACCTATTGGAAGTAAGCTACCCAGTTGTAGATTAAATGACTCCACAGAGGTGTCCATCTTGAAACTAAGATGCTCTTCAATTATTAACCATATTATTTACTTTCTTTCAAAAGCAGCTGTGTTTATGAGTACTGAACAAATGTGTATACTTTCCTGTGCCAGACTTTTGACTTTGTTTTCAAGCACTGTACTGTGGGATTGAGTGGCAGCTTTGTTAGAAAAAGAAGTATATTAGGGTTTCTACTTAACCCTTTTAGGACTGAACAATTTCTTCCCTTTAGAAGCTGTAAAATAAATGATTAGTTCTAACTTCGTGAACATTCTGTCTGTGTTCAGCACTGCATTTGCCCCATCTGGAGGTGCTATGCTAATGTCGTTTTTTTTTAAATCCTGTAGCATGTGTATACATTCAGTCTTAAAAGGGTTATTTTTACAAACTGTGCACCTGTAAAGTTTCTTAGCAATAAAGGTAGAAAAATGAGCAAGTTTTTACCATAATTTTGTAGAATTAATTGCTCAGTTCCATATTTCATCAAGAAAAACCCTGCAATATGGGCAGTTTTGAGGATTAAATAAAAGTGAAATGTAAACCACGTAAAAGTGTTCTTGTCAAGTGTACTCTGTGTGTGCATGTGCATATGCTATCGGATTTTTTTCCTACAAGGCTAAAGATAAAATGTCATGTTACTTTTGATGTGACAACCATAATTGAACATCTGTATGATGATACAAAAGTACTTACAATTTGAGCAGGTGTTGAAACTTGCCATGTTTTTGTGGATTTTTTCAATGTTAACCAAGGAGTATGGTTTTGGGTTTTGTTTGCTTGGTTTGATTTTTTTTTTTTCCCCTAAATGAACAGTGAGGTCATCTATGGAAGCAGAACAACAGAAAAGAAGACCAGCCCTGGGAATGAAACGTCATCAGTAGTTGTGAGGCTGTGCGCACTGGACTCCACTTAAACGGGATATGGAATGTCCACCCAAAAATTTAAATCGGTTTCATTATTGCTTGTATTATTGCTGAAGTTAGATAAGAAACTGTTTTTTAATAATGTGTAAAAAAAAAGTTTCACTTTTTTATATAATTTATTAAATAAGAAAAAATGAACTGTGTTTAGTTGTTTAACTTTAGCAACTTTATTATTGCATCTAGTATACCTGACTTCGTTTCATCCTATTCTTAATTGCAGACTGTCTGACATTTCTTTCAGTTGGTTGATAACTAGAGCCAGAAGTTTAGCAAATAAGTTTATTTCTTGTTTTGGCAGAACTGTAGGGCTGTAAGGAACAGCTAGAAATTATGTACTCTCAGTTTGCAAGCACAAGTGACACAGTCACTTGAAAAAAGTTTCTGAGGTCGGAGCCAACATGGCAGAGAGAGAATATAGAATAGTAGAAACCTACCAGTACTGGTTTTGTATTAAATTAATACAAGAACTTCTAGTTTATCCATAAGACTGTGAAGGGTCCAAAAGGGGTTGTTAAAAAGGAGTGGCAAGAGAAAAATAAATCATTTGACTTTAAGGAAGGATTACAGATTTTTTTTTATTTTTTTTTAAACATCTGCAAAGGTGATTGCCAGTGTTACTAAACACTTAAATAGTCAGAAACTCAACAGTTGTGCTTCTGCTGTTTGAAACAGGGACAGTATAGACAGATTACATCTCAAAATTATTTTAAGGACTCTCGCAGTTGTTTTCTGGAATGATAAACTGATTCTTCTGGAATAGAATAGAAATTAGATCTGAGGTTTTGGCAAAGAGAACGGTCATTTGCTGAACTTCAGCATTGGTATCACTGGAATAAACATGGGATGGCACTGGTCTTAGACAAAGAACTACAGATATTAATAAAATCGTTTCATCTAAACCTTGGCAATTAGCTACATAGATAGTCTCAATAATAAATCCTGTTAAGATCCAGAGTAGAAGATTAAAAGGCGAATGGTGGGAAATAACTGGGCTAGAGGAAAGGATTCATTTGGTGTTTACATTTAATACATGCCATTTCAGAACATTCGGAACTACAGAACGGGGTGAAGTTGTTTACCTTTCACAGTGCCCTGTTTAGACTGGAGTTGCTTCTGAGCAGGATAGAAAAAACTGTGTGCTCAATTCATGTCTCTGTAAAGGATATATATTTCTGATATCCAGTAGCACAAGCTTAGTGTAAGGCCAAAAGCATGAGGAGTTTTAGCCTATATTACTTGTTTTAAAATACTTTTGTATTGAATATCAACATTAATTATGTATGCTAAAGAGAAGTTCAGGCAATCTTGATTCTCTGTAGAAGCAAACTTGCTAACTGCTGTCTGAGGAGATCTGATAAAGTCTTTTGAATTTGACATCTTTCAGGTTCTGCATCTCCTTCAAGTATGGAAATGGATGGTTAGAAGTTTGATGTTGTCTTTTCTGTGTGCTATTGCCTTTGTATTCTAGTCTCAGTTCCCTTACTTTCATATGTACTTCTCAAGATCCTAATTAGTTTGCAGTTTTTCTCAGAATGTGTAAATTTTGCTGCATAATTTAGGCAAGGAGTGTTAAGTAAGGTGAATTATAACTTTTGAGACTGCGTGCTGCCGTTGGTGCTGTTGTGCTGTGGAGTGGGGAGAAAGCAATGTTAGTTGATTGTTTTTTAAGCTGCTTGTAGGTACATGGAATGGAAGGTTCTACAGACCTAGCCTTAATGATCTACAGATCTGTCTTTGAGGATGATGCATGTAATTTAGAACAACGTAAAGCTCCCTGTGAATCTGTCTGAAT